GGGGGGGCCTGGGCTCCACCGACTCCTGCGCCGGCTGCCGGGCGATCCCGGGACGTACCAACGGAGCGGGGAGAGGGGGCGGAGCCGGATGTCGCTGAGCCCCCGGAGCAGCCTCTACCACCGCGGCGCGGGGGCGAGGAGGCGGTGCCTAAGGCGGGGGGTGGGCTGTACCAACGGCCGTGGCAGGGGGGTGGTGGAACGTGGCCTATGACGTCACGGAGGGAGGGCAGAAACCCAAAACATCGCTCAGTACCAGGGACTGCCAAGAAAATTAATTCTGCCCCAGCCAAGACCAGCACAACCCGCTACGCTGCACTTTCTGCCTCCACAGAGAGCTTTTTCCGAGGGGAAATAAACTCTTTTCTACCTTTTTTTTTAATAGCCGTTGGGAGTAAAGAATTTCTCTCAGCTGTTGCCTAGGGCAGACGGGATAGGCCCTGCTTTTCGACCTCATCCTCGCTTGTAACCTGACGTAGTACAGCTGTGCATGCAGGAGGCTTCAGCAAAAGACACGGGGAGGAAGACCCACCGCCTTTCGCAGAAGCTGAAAGAAAATAATAAAAACACCACTTAAGCTCCTGCCCTTGACCCTTCCCGCTCTTGCCTGCGCAATAAGGAACGGATGAGATCATGGCGCTTCTCAGGAAGAGACTTTGTTCTGCGCCTTGCCTTTCGGTTCGCCAGAGGTGCCCGTTCGTTGGCAAGACAGACAGACGTGCCCATTACGCAGGGAAGACAGATGTGCCCCTTGCCCAGACAAGACAGACAGACAGACGTTCCCGTCACCCAGCCGGTGGCGGAGGCGCGGGCAGAGCCCAAAACGGGGTGCAAAGGGAAACGCCGTGACCGGCTCCCCGCTCCCCACGGTTCGGAGCACCTCCGTGCCGAGTTCAGCCTCGCTTCTTCGTTAAGAGGAACGACGCCAAGGCCTGACTTTTGCCGCTGTCATTCGCGTTTAACGCGCAACCACGCCGTGCCATCCTGCGCTGGGAAGCGGGGCGCCTGTACCCCCTCCGCTGCGCACCAACACCCCCCTCGCTTCCCCTTGACGACGTCCAAAAAAAACCCCCAAACCAACCCAAAAACACCCCAGCGGGGGGCATAGCTCCTTGAAAAACCTTCGCGGGCGGAGCCGAGCTGCTGCGGGGGCCGGGCCTGAGGAGAGGCCGGGCCTGAGGAGAGGGAGGCCGGGCCTGAGGGGAGGCCGGGCCCCGCCGCCGCCGCCATGCCGAAGGTGGTGTCCCGCTCCGTCGTCTGCTCCGACACCCGGGACCGTGAGGAGTACGACGACGGGGAGAAGCCGCTTCACGTTTACTACTGCCTGTGCGGGCAGATGGTGCTGGTGCGGGGTGGCCCCCCGGGAAAGAGGTGTTCGGGGGGGGGGGGGACGGGGACACAGGCCGCCGGCGCGGCGGGTGTGGGTGCCGGTCCCGCCGCCAGCCCGTGGCCGCCGCTGTCCCGCAGACTGTCAGCTGGAGAAGCTGCCGATGAGGCCGCGGGACCGCGCTCGGGTGATGGACGCTGCCAAGCACGCCCACAAGTTCTGCAACGCCGAGGAGGAGGAGAGCGTCTTCTTGCGCAGGTGGGCCGAGGAGGGGGTCTCAGGCCTCCGCCGACCCCCCTCCGGTCCCTCTGAGACCCCCTCCGCGGCCCCGGGGAAGAGGTTACCCTGGTCTGGCCTTGCCTCCTCACCCGGCTGGGGCCCATCAACCAGCCACCAGCGCCTTCGCGCTCTCCTCAAGCTCTTCCTCTCTCCCCCAGGCCCGAAGGCATAGAGCGGCAGTTCAGGAAGAAGTGTGGCAAGTGAGTGACCGCCGTGGCTCCCGAGTGACTTCTAGAATCCGTTTGCGAGGTAACCATAGGAAGGCAGAGCCTGGGTTTTCCCCCCCCAGTTACAGTGTGTTTCTGTCTCCAGGTGTGGACTGCTGCTCTTTTATCAACACCAACAGAAAAATGCTCCCGTGACGTTTATTGTTGATGGCGCTGTGGTCAAATTCGGCCAGGGTTTTGGGAAAACAAACATATATACTCAGAAACAAGAACCTCCCAAAAAGGTAATCAGCTTTAGAGAAGTAAAAAGGTTGTCTCTGCTTTTCAGAAGGGTGTGGTGAGTAAAATCGCTTAATGGCAGGGGCAGAGCGGAGGAAAAAAAAAAAGAAAGAAAAAGACCTCTAAACAATGACTCAGTTTGGTGTCTTCTCCCCATCTGCCTTCAGTTTTCCTTTACAGAGCACCTTGGAGTCCTAGCGCTAAGGGAAAGCAAAATAAACTTGAAAATCTAGACTGTGCCTGATGCTTAGGCTCAGTTACCAGAAAGTTTCCATTTGCAAGTAGGTCACGTTGGTAGTCTGCACAGTGATTCTCAAAATCGAGCTCATCTGTTGTATATCAGTGAGTTTGCTTCTGATTAATGACAGCTCTAAGCCCAGAAGTTACTGGGGATAATTCTCCTTTGCCACCCACAGAGTTCAGGTAATCTTAATGACTTGCAAGAGAAGACTTAAAAGCTTTGGAGGGGGAAGTGATCCCTAGCGGCACAACTGTTGCCAAGGTTTAACAAAATACTCTGCTTCTTACCCAGGTGATGATGACCAAACGGACCAAAGACATGGGCAAGTTCAGTTCTGTCACAGTCTCCACAATTGATGAAGAGGAGGAGGAGATTGAAGCGGTGAGTTTTGTCTGCCCTTAGTGGCAGTCACACCTGAACTGGGCAGCTGTCTCAGACACTGATCAGAACCAGTGATTGTCTCATCATTTGGATAAGGTGTAACTTTGGGGTTTGCTGTCGCAAATGACACCGTATGTGTTTCAGAGGGAGATTGCAGACTCCTATGCCCAGAATGCAAAAGTGATTGAGAAACAGCTGGAACGCAAAGGCATGAGCAAAAGAAGGCTACAAGAGTTGGTGAGTGTTTTCATCAGTATTGAACGCGAATTCTTGAGATCTGTTGGCGTTGTACACAAAAGCTATCTTGCAGATTGGACTACAGGTACAGAGAGGTCCTGGTACAGTCATGGGGAACTTGTAGCTCTGTGAGGATGACTTCTTCCTTTACAGGTTTTATAGAGATGTTCTTCTAGTCCTCCTGAACTTAAAATCATATGCAATTACCTATAGAGCTAACTGAAAAGCAGCAGCAGAACTGTTGCAGGGAGAATTTCTGTGACCTGTTGGACGAGGAATGAGGGAAGGGGAAACCAGGCCATGGCTTTGCCAACCAGAGCACCCCTAATGCTGTGCTCTCAAGCCTGCTTGGCAGAGCAGGGCTTTGCTGTGAGGTGTCAGGGCAAGCTAAGGCCCTTGTGGAGGACCTGCCAGCTCAGCTGCTACCAGAAGGGTCACTTGAAGAATTAATGGCAAGAACATCACAGCTGATCTTACTTGCTGTGACAGGAGAGGGGTAGATGGGGGTAGGGGGAATGTGTAGCTTCCACCTGAGGATAGAAAGTATGAAATTGTCTCCTGTGCAGTTAGTCTTGGACCTTTTATGATTTTAAAGGTGGTCCTCATTTTGTACCTCAGGGGAGGAGGGAGTCAGCAAAGAACTTGAGCTACTCTTGCTCCTGGTGTGAAAAGCTTGCAGTGGTCAGACAAGACCAAACCTTATTGGAGCACTGAAGGGAAACATATCCAGACATTATTTCATTCTGTCTTAATTTTCTTAATCAGGCTGAGTTGGAAGCCAAGAAAGCCAAGATGAAAGGAACTCTGATTGATAACCAGTTCAAATGAAATGCTGCACATCTGCTGGGTATTCAGAGACAGGAGAAAGCTACCAGGAGCTATCGCAGTTCTGTCAACAAAGCAGAAGTAACAGACAACGTTCAAGGGCAACGTGCTGCAACCAGCTTGGAGGATGAGTACCTCTCTGTCCTAACTGATGATCTGGTACCAATTGTAATTACTCCAGCGGTACTGGAGACTTTGCTGAAACTGCAGTTCTCTATGGACCCAGTGTTACGAGCAAGCTGTTCCAGCCAGAATATTTACTTCTGGGAGAATCTTCGCTGGGTGCCTTCCTGAGTTCAGTGCACCTTTAGATACCTGTCTTTTTATTTTGGTAGTTTTCAAATGTGTAAGATTTCCATAAATGTATTAGAAGAGTAGGTCAACTGTACAACAAAGAAATCGTTATAAAAGTAAGCTCTGCCTGTTGTTCATTTTGTTATTTTAAATGTGTCCAAAACATGCACAGGCTTGGCTGCAGCTCTTAAGTCTCAGCTCCTGCTGACCATCGGAAAGGCGCAGTTGTACAGAATTACACTGTCCCAACGGATACTGTCCGATACAAGAACATGAAATCCAACCCAGTTTTAAACTACTGAAAACAAAAACTGCCTGCGTGTTACACCACTAACAAGTACAAAGATATAGTTGGAAGCTACTGATACGATTGGTGATCATTTAATGTAGAATACAACTGCACGTCTGAACTAACCTGTTCTGCAAAACATTGTCAGTATCTGGAGTTCTAAAATATGAAGGAGAAGGAAAAATTGTTTTGAATGCACTGACCACTAAGGACTCGGATAAAGACAACATTAAGAATTGGTGTGTAAAGTACCTTGTTTGGGAAGTAATATTTTATGTCTCTTACGTGACATAGTCATAGTGCTCTATGGCCCACGTCTTTATTGCTCTACTTGGGATTAAATACCATGTTAACGGATTTCAACTAAAATACTTTTCCTAGGGTGTTCTTACTCTACCAAGTATCGTAAGATAACATGAGCAATGAAGAAAATGCTTCATCTCCCACGATTATCATGGAAGACTTTCTATAATCAATAAAGATTTTCTATCTGGCTTTGTAACCCTGGCTGGGAAAACTCGGGTCTGCTTAGCCTAAGGATGTATCCTTCCTTTCTTTGGGAAAATAAGGTGTAAGGGAGGGAGTGAACTCTGCCCCAGAGCTGGCAGAGTGGGATGCGTCCGTCAGTCCTGTGACAATTTAAAGCCAGGCTGGGTAAGCAGTGTTCAGGTTAACTCAAGCAGCACTGATCTTGTCCCCTGCTGATATCTGCTAATCTGAGGCCTATTTCCAGAAGCCTACGCCCAGTGGCTCTTCACTTAAGCAATTATAAGGTGGTGTGTAATACTTGGGAAGGGCAGGAGGGATGAGTGGGTGCAACTCCGTTACACAAACCCCTTTTCCAAGTGTGGTAGCACAGTGCAGCCAGGTGAGGGCCCCAGGGTGCCTCCGGGAGGGACCCAAGCTCCAAAGAACCGCAGGCTGGTCTCTATAAAAATGAGTAAGTTTTTTCCAAGCCAGAGTCAAAGACTTTGGAATTTGAAAAGAGGTTGTGAACCATGTGAGGTCTGCTGGGATGCGGACTGCTTCGTCTCCAGTTGTAATAAAGGATGAAATATAGTCATGCTTCAAGTGACACCCAGAACAGAAGCTGACTCGGGGACAATGTGAGTTACAGTTGGGGTTTTAAGGTTGGGAGTAACAAAACACAGGGCTTCAGCTGATGTGGGGCTGCCAGGTGGGACTAGGACCAACTTTGCAGTTCAGTGAGGCACAAAGAAAATGCAGTGAGTGCACAGCTCAGCACAAGTTGTCTAAAGCAGCAGTTACCAACTGCCATCAACTTCCTCAGCTGTGTACCTCGAGCATTGAGGCAGCGTTCACAGCACAAGCACTCCTCCTTTCTGGCTTTTAGAAGACCAGCCCATGTTCAGTCAATGTTTTTCATTCTTGTCGTCAGAGATCCGC